GAATCACCAACAAGAAACTATGGGAACAAAGAAAACAAGAACAGACCGATCGCCCAACAAATTTGCAGGAGAAAGTGGAGACGGATCGAACACTCGCTGAGGAGACCGCTGGGTGACTTTGCTGGTCAAGCCCTCGAGTGGAACCCGAAAGGGAGGCGGTGTGTGGGACGTCCAAGGGTGACATGGAGGAGATCGCGCGAAGAGCAGTTGAAAGAGTATGGACTAACATGGATGCAGGTGAAAAGTACAGCAGAAGAGAGAAGCAAATGGAGACGTGCAGTTGAGGTTTTCAGGAGAGAATCTAAATCACATTTTTCATCACAGATTATAAACGTATCATCTACATATCTCTTGTATAAGTGCAGTTGACTTATCAAGGATGTTGTTTTCAAGACTCGCCATGAAACAGTCGGCTTCTTATACCTCACACTATGTAGTAGAATTTTCAAGGACAAAGTTTACCAGTATCTGATTGATCAAAAACTTATGTGTTTAATTATAATTACGATTGTACAGCTCATGAAAATAAATCATCGAAAAGAAAATTTTCTTCGCTGTTTGTGCCTTTTCTTACAATTGGTTATGGCTATTTTAGCTAAACAGGTGAAGATTGGTAATTGGGTAGAGTTACCTAATACAATACAATCAGTCAAGAAAATTAGGTACTAATAAAATTTGGATAGTAACAAAGGTGATGAGTTGTCACAAACAGTTGTTAAAAAGAAGTTACGTAATCAAATGGATAATTTGATGATGATAATGAGTTACACACATAGAAACAAAGTGAAGAATACGAGATTACGTAAGAGTTCCAAATGTATAGAAGAATTATAAGCAGCTAAAGAATAGGTGAACAAATAAAATTAAGTCATCAAAAATCAACAAAGTTGTTACCATCAGAGTAGAAGTGGTTGAGTAATTCTCTTTTGTATGCACAGCTCAGGTTTTTCTATGTGAATGGCCACAGCTTCAGTGATACAAAGAAGACAACAACTTTGTTAATTTTGTTTGTTTGCCTGTTCTTTAATTTAAAAGAGAATACGTTCAGCAAAGAGACTCTTTTCGGCGGATTCATTCGCAAAGCTGTACAATCGCATTTATATATAATTATTTGTGTGTGTACATGAGGTTTGTCAAGTTTAGGTAATTGATCAGGTCTGTCTGTCTGTCTGTTTTCGACATAGAACTTTGCACAAATGTGCGGAAGTTCAAGTCGCCACATTCCGTGTAGCACGCGAAGCAAGAGAAGAAAGTACAAGAAAAGCATAATAGAAACAGTCAGCAGAGGTGTGAGACAAAGGAGTAATAAAGAAATACAAAACAGTTTCATTGAAGATCATAAGTCACAAGGAGTGGATGCATCTGCGCCACTGAGAACGATTTTGAGCCATGTCACCAATTGTTTCCAACCATAGATTTTTACCGTCCCGAGGACCCCAGCCTGGAAGTCTACACCTTCCTACGTGGCTTAGACCAACTGTTGTGGATTTCATTGACTGATGCCAAGTTTTTGTTTGACCGCCGCTAGCTTTTTTCCAGCCTGACCCTATATCCGCTAACATTGTTCGTCGAGGGAGGCGATGGCTTGGCATACGTAACACATGTCCTAACCATCTCAGTCTTTGTAGCTTCACGACTTCGTCGATTGATTTCCCCTGTTTACCTAGAACTCTACGCCTAACCTCCATGTTGCTCACCTTATTATGCCACTTTACACGGGAAATAGAACGCAGGCACCTATGATCAAAGACAGCTAGTCTTTTCAAGTCTTCCACTCTCAGTGGCCAGGTCTCACAACCATAAAGGAGGACGGAGCGGACTGATGAGCAGTACACCCGCCCTTTGGTCGATAGTCGAACATCTCGTCTACGCCAGAGTCGGCGTAAACTAACAAATGCGAGACGAGCCCCTTGTATTCGTGCTGAGATTTCGTCAGAGATCAGCCCGTTGGGGCTGATGGTACTTCCCAAATAAGTGAAGCGGTCAACGTGCTCTACCACTTCACTTCCTATTTTTAAACTAGGCGTCGATGTAGTCCAGTCCTGTAACATCATCTTGCATTTGGCGGGAGCGAATCGCATGCCAAACATTCGTAGATTGCGGCTCAAGGTGTTTAGAAGACTCTGCATTTTGTCAGCGTCTTTGCCTATGAGGACTATATCGTCTGCATATTCCAAGTCAACGAGATTATTCCCCGGTAGCAATTGATCAGGTAATACAAGAATGATCTAATATAGAACCAAGGTTAATCAGACAGCAACTAAAGTAAGATTGAGCTAGTTAGTAAGTTAGATGACGTAATATAATTGACTAAAATGTTTCAACTTAGGTCAGAGTAGCAACAGAGGTAATTACAGGTAGAGAGAGACTAAGTAGAAGTGGGGTAGATAATAATGCCACTTATATTAGAACAGAAATTGAGCAAATAAGTTGGATGACGTAACATAAACGACTAGAAATTGAGCTTTGGTCAAGTCAGTAACAGTGGTAGTGAGATGTAGAGATTAAATCGGGTGAGGTTAGAGAACAAGAAGGTTGAAAATCTAAAATGTTGCAATTGAGAAGACAAAATAATATTAATGAAGACAGAAGAGAAAAGGATTAGGTAGAATTTACTTGTCGGGTAATAAGTCAGATTAAGTCCATTGCAAGTGTACTGATTGAACGAACTTCTTCTGTATGCAGAGTTCAGGGCTTAGCAAGTGAATCGCCATTGCTTCTGCAGTATCAAGAAGTCTGATTCGTACACCTTTAGGAAGACTACTTCTTACTCTGTAAACGACTTTGAAGTTTGTTTGGAGTGCAGCTTGGTGTTCGGATTCTATCAGATGTTCTAAGAGGAGCTGCGGGGACATCGTTTTTCTCCTTTGTAAAACCGTGTTGGTAAGTGTTTGGTAATACGCTTGGAAAGCGAACGCTGAGTATGGCCAACATACCTGGCTCTACACGAGCAGTTGAAGTGATAAAAACATATTGATGAGGCCAGCAGTGGTAGCTTATCCTTCACGTTCATATGAATCATAGGTTTTGTGGAGAAGCTTAGTCGTAGTTCAGCTGCGAAGAAGGTCTTCTTGAGTGAGCACGATAGTCGATTTTTAGTGTTTCCGCAGATATATCTCCACTGAGTTGAAGGTTCATGTAGACTAGTTTTTTCGGGACGCTAAGCATGGGCGGCTTTTGTGTTCTTTAATTGCTTATAATTCTTCTATTTATTTAGAACTCTTGCGTAATTTCGTATTCTCTACATTGATCCTGTGTTGTATCCTGAGTAAAACTCACTCACCAAACTATTCATATTATTACGTAACTCTTCTCTAACAATCGTTTTTAAATAACTCATCACTTTTGTTACTACCCTCGTATATCAACATCCAATCCATGTGAACTTACTAATTGTATTTTCGTTTGACAAATTCAATGTACGCACACACATACAAAACAACCATACACATATTTGCGATTGTACAGCTATGAAGGAATGAATTCACCGGCGAAAAGAGACTCTTCGCTGAACTACTGGTCTTCCGTCTACCAAATTTGTGTTTTAATAATAATAATATGTTCTCCTAATTTTTATATTTCTGCTGTGCTCACTGAAGCTAATGTCCCCAAGATGCTGTACTATCCCTACTTCCCTTTTCTTTCTACATGACCTACCATCTTCAAATGAAATTAATTTTGTCAAATATGCTGATGACCTAACTGTATCTTTACCTGTCAAATGTCAAAGTGACTGCTCTAAACTAAACGGCTTTTTATCAGAAGTCAGTCAATGGTCCAAAGAAAACGGTCTCACCTTAAACCCCTCCAAATGCCAAACAGTTAATTTCACGTTTAGGCACAAATCTGACTGACCTAAACAAACTGGTTAGCACTCACGAAGTGTGCAACATAGATGGCACTGAAATTGAAACCAAGTCGGAAATTAAAAACCTAGGCGTCACTCTATCTTCTGATCTTTCCTGGTCGTCTCATATCTTGACGATTTCTAAGAAAATATTCCGTCTTACCTTCTAGATCAAGAAGTTAAGACATTCTGGTATAACCCAACCCTTACTCCTACAATTCGTTAACTCTTGCATCCTCCCTATTATTCTCTATTGTTCCCCCTTAGTTTTTCGTGGATTCCTGAAGAAAGACTATACCTTATTACGCAGGATATTAAAGGTTGTCAGCAGGCTAAGCAACGGGCCACTTAACCAGCTTGTTAATATTCTGGTTGACAGGCACTTGGACTCATGTGAAAAATCGGCTAAATCCATTCTATCTAACTCACACCACTCTCTTCATTCACAACTCTCCCCTTGTATCTATCTCATCAGCCAGGACCAGAAGCCTATATAGAAAACTAAATGCTCGCACTAGCAAGTACAAAATCTCAACCATACCCGACTTGGCTCGTGTTCTGTGCGATAAAGAATGCATTAGGCGCGATACATATAACTTATTAAATAGTCAGTAGAACAACTGAACCTCGCCTTTCCAACTTGTATCATTTATAGGTACAACGTTTTCTTTCTTTCTTTTCCTTTTCTCTTACTTTCTGTTATGTGTTGCTTTGTTTCTTTCTTCTGCTTATGCCAGTAAATGTGCTAGCATCTACTTTTGTAACAACTTCAAACACTGTTCAATTTTTGGCTTTGCTACCGACATCCCAATATGTTGTTGTCAAAACTAACTGAGATTACGCTTAATCTATGCAGAATTTTATTTTATTGTTAATTTACTAACTGGATGCAATACTGTAGTGAAATGCTGAGAATTCCATTCTGTATCACAAGTACTGTTTTGGAATAAAGCTATTATCATTATCATTATATTCCGCATTCGATTTCTCCAATGAATCAGTAACCACGGTAACACAACAGTTCTCTGTCAGTATTAACCCAACTTCCTTATATGAGTATTATATTTACTCTTTTTAATTACTCACTGTTTGTAGTCTACCGCCTATTTCTCACCAATCATTTTCATTTTAATCATGTTTTTTTATATTTCAGGTGTCTAGTCAATCACCTATCAATGCTGTTAATAAATCTCCTCGAAATATGTCAGGTGTAATGTCAGCTAATGCAGATCTCAGTACGTCGAATGGAGCTTGTTCACTGTGTTCATTAGATAGTTCAAAAACTATAGCATCAAGTACTCCATTGTCTTGTTGTTTTACCGGTAATATGCATCAGAAATCGGTGCACAATTCCAATTCGCCAACAAATAACAGTCAATTTGCATTAAATCGTAGTCCTAGTAGAAATAGTAGTAGTAAAAATCTATCTCCTATACCTGTGGTCAACAATGATGATAATGAAACAGGCTGGTTGCATCAATGTTCACCTATCAGAACACCTGTGAAAAAAAATCGTAGTATAGCTTCGAGTTCTATTGAAATCACCGCTCCGATCACTGCTACTGGAGATTGTTTACAACAGAAATCTTTTTCTAGTCCGCCCGTCAACCTGACTCCTGATCACCAAAAAAAGAATTCTAGAATTGTGATAGATTTGGTAAGTGATATTTCTTTTTTTTTATTAAAAGTTTAATGTATTCAAATTTTAATTATATTTTGTAGTATTTATGTGCATCGGTGGCACAGCGGTAGGAATGCTCGCCGACCACGCCTCATGTGGTCCGGGGTTCGATCCCCGGACGCACCGACACACTCCTCCTATACCTCAATAAGCCAGTAATACAACTGGTAAGGAGGGATGATTGGACTAGGTGATGCTAGCAAGCCTATCCCTATCTAAGTGGAACTCTTACGAGAAAAAAAACAGTTTGAATGTGAGTGACATGGAGTAGATCGTGTGAGGAGAAGATGACAGCTTTCGCACAATTGTGGAACTTGATAAAAACGACTACAGAAAACGAGACAAAGTGATGATGTGCTGCTGGAGATCTGTGTTCTACTTAGAAGCCACCCAACGGAATAATAGTAATAATAATATACCTGCATAAAACCCTTTATTGTTGTTATAGTCGGCTAATTTGAATCTAACATTTGACGCTTTATTGCGTACACGTGTGGATCATTGGCTTGAGCACGCCATTTCAAACCAATGGATCCGTGATCCAAAATCATGCTTCATCTACTAAAATAAGTATGGTTCACAGACTGGTACAAAGTGTGGTTGAATTTAAACTAATTACCTAATTTCGAAGTTTGATCACGGATAGTATCAGTTAAGGAATCATTGGAAATCATGGGTGACTAGAGCGTTGTTTCGTCATAGTTTCGAACTCTTCATCAGTACCCACCCATAACTGAAGGTGGAATCGAGCCCAGGTGAGCTCACTGATCACTTAGTCACTGAGACGAATTCCAGTGACTGGCTGTTGAATTCTAACGTCTGTCATTGCCGAGTTATTTATCCTCACTCCCTATCTGGTGGAACCCACTGGTTACTATTTCCAACCAGAACTCCAAATAACTTTTTCCTGTAGTTGGCCTTTAGTGAGCATCCGACCAGTTTTTGTGTCTTAGTTTGGAGGTTTTTGATTATTTGATAGAGGTTAGAATTCCTAGGCTGTTGAGTTCCGTCTCAGTGATTGAATAATCATGGGGGTTGGCAGTGTAATCTGAGGTTACCTAGGTTTTCGATCAAATTTGGGCTCATGGGTATGTACTGTTGTACCGTCTTAAACAGCCGGTGGCTCTCCAGTACTTCCTGCTGGTTTTCAATAGTTCTCCAATTGATATCGTTCCACGATCAAAGTTAAAACCAATTATATTCCTACAAAATTACACTTGGAAAGTAACAGTCTAAGCAGTTGGTTGATTGTTCCCATAAAATTCTTAGCATATTCTTTTTCCACTAGTAATTGTTTCCGATTATATATGCGTCGGTAGCACAACGGTTAGGACTCTCGCCGAACATGCACATGGTCCGAGATTCGATCCCCTGCAGACGCACACTTGATATCAATGATCGGCCTGCAAGATTTGGGCTAGCAATATCACATTCTGAAAATTCAATACTTGCATCAAAAATACGGTTTGAAATCAAGCTTTAATCAATAATCCCCTAAAAGTTTACTCGTGAAGTGACCGACTCACTTAGTGCTTCTGTCTTTATAATTGATTAACTGTGAATATACTATACAACACTCCACAACGTTCAATTGTGCTATTTCCGTTTTTTGTCTCCTTTTTCATTACCTGCTGCACAGTTATGCTAGAATCTCTGATGGTGAATTGAATGGTGGTTATATCATTCTTGACGTTCGATGGAACCAGTCTGCAGCCACGCTCAACTTACCGAGCATCCAACACCTTGAATGGGATATAAACACCGGTTGTCTGTCCCTAACTGAGGTTACAAAAGTTTTCTCTAGTCTGAAATGAGGCAAAGCAGTGGCACCTGATGGAATGACTCCAGAGGTGTTTAAGGACGGTGCTGACAATTTACTGTCTCCGTTAACTAAGATATTAGGTAATGTCTGGGAATTAGAGATAGGCCTGTTAGGTTGGTGTAAGTCATTGATTATCCCGATATACAAGAAGGGAGATAAATCGTCCTGTGATAATCACAGGGGGATTGGCTTGATCAATATGGTATCTAAAGTTCTAGGCTCAATAATCATGCGTAGATTAAAGGGTGCTCGGGAGAAACAAACACGAGAGAACCAGGCAGGCCTTGTACCAGGGAGAGAGGGTGTATTCAGTATATCTTCATCTTTCGATAAATTCTGGAACACAGACATACTTACTATCGGCCTCCAACAATCGTCATGTTTCTTGACCTAAAGGCGTCATTCGATTCTGTCAACCGAGAAGTACCCTGGCAATGTTTGGCTGTAAATACACTCCACTGATTGAGGTACTCTACTCGAACTCATGCAGTCAGCCAGGTGAGAGCTTACGGCAAGTTGTCATCCAAAGTGGTGACGACTAGTGGTGTCCGTCAGGGATGCCCACTGTCCCCAATTCTATTCAATTTCATCATAGATGCACTAATTGAATTAACCCCAACTCACTTCAGAGACTCAGGGATTGACTTGCTACCAAAGAATAATCTCGTTGACTTGGAATATGCAGATGATATAGTCCTCCCTCATATGTGAAGACGCTGATAAAATGCAATGCTGCAATCTGTGAATGTTTGGCATATGATTCGCTCTCCTGGTCAAATAAAAGATGATGCTACAGGACTCGACTGGACTACATGGACTCACTCCTAGCTTAGAAATGAGGAGTAAAGTGGTAGAGCGTGTTGATCATTTCACTTATTTGGAAAGTTGCATCAGCCAGCGCCAGCGGCGTTGATCGCTGACGAAATCTCAGCACGGATACAGAAGACTCGTTTCGCATGTGCCAGTTTACGCCATCATTGGCGTAGATGTGATATCCGGCCGTAGAACAACGGGCGTCTTTACTTCTCAACATCTCGTTCACTCCTCGCCCTTTATGACAGTGAGTGAGACAGCTATTGAAAGTGGAAGACATGAACAACCACGTTAGCTAGCTGTCGTTGATCATAGGTGTCGGCGTTCTTTATCCCGTGTTAGGTGGTAGGTGTAATATGGTGAGCAATATTAAGGTGAAGCATCGGTAGAATGGTACGTAGGTGGGAGGGGAAATCAATCGATGAGGTTGCGAAGTTTCTTCGATTGAAAGAGACAGATAGTTAGGATGTGTGACGCACTCATGTCTAGCCATTGATCGCCTTCCTCGACAACTGGTACTGTTAGCTGCCGACATTGGATTAATCAAGTTGTTGGGAAAGACTTCATCAGTCAATCCCGGCCGACAACTTCTACCTTGTCGTGGTGGTCGCGCTTGAATGTCACAGTGACCCAACAAGCTAAACTGGTTGAGACTCGCATTCCTGCAGGTCCTACCATGTCAGGAAAGTCGTTTGAATAGCGCTTAGACTAAAAGCAGTTACCATGAAGTACATGGGCTCCAGAATCCAGTTTGATCAAGTGGTGTATAAACCTATATTGGTGACCGGCAACCGTGGAAACGTAGCCCCTGACATTGCTCCGCTGCCTTGTGGATTAGACTCTAAGTCAAAGGCTCGGCGGGGTGGTCCCTTAAGAAAACCACCTGGTTCGGCGTGTGCGCCCGGGTAGTATCCCAGCCCTCACACAATAAATGAAATGAATCAACAAACTATCAGTGAAAATTATCACGTGCTCGTAACAATGCTTTCAAGCAATAATGATGTCTCAGGTAAGACATCTCTCTCCAACCTTACTTTTATTTTTATACATAGACTCCTGTATTTTACATTTGCTAACCTTGACGTCTCCACCTTTGACAGCCTTTCGTCTTTTTCTGAATTTCCAGCTTATCTGTGCCGTTTCGAGATGTTAGTGAGTAACCCTCAAAATGGTTGTCCTTAATGCGACATCTAACCCAGATATCCTGAAACCGGGTGCCGCGTTCAAGCTGGTCACCTACAATGTTCGGACACTGATGCAAATTGAACAACAGGCAGGGTTGGTAAGATCATTGGAAAGCCTCTCTATCGATGTCTACTGCATTTCAGAGACCCGCATTCAAGATCCCAGTGAAGTGCTTCGATTATCCTCTCCATCTGAAAGTTCTAGTAGTATGTACCACCTGCGCCTGTCCGGTGTCGCACTAAGCCGAAGCTACATTACTCGATTGGATTCCCATTAACAGTAGTTTGTGTGCTGTAAGGCTGGAAGGTTATACGAAAGTGAGGAGTGGTAGGCCAGATAGGCGGTGTCTATTTGTTGTCTCTGCCTATGCACCGACGGATTGCAGCCCGGATGCAATTAAGGATACGTTCTACTACCAACTGAGCTATCTCTTGAAACAGGCAGGTCAGAGGAATATCGTAGTGCTGCCTAGGGACTTGAATGCACAGGTTGGGCGTCCAAGCTCAGAGGAGAATTGTCTAGGTGGTCAGTGGGGTATACCTGGTCGCAGGTCAGATAATGTGAACCGTCTCCTGCAACTTTGCGCAGATCACAACCTATTTCTAGCCAGCACCAATTTCCGGCACAGCCATCGCAAACTGGCGTCCTCCTTCTGCGAATCAAGCTTGGACTCAGATTGATCATATTACTGTCAGTTTCCGGCGGCGAGGATGCATACAAAACTGTCGCTCCTTCTGGAGCACATGTCTGGACTCCGATCATACGTTTGTGTATGTCAGGTTCGTCTTGCGGTTTGGTGGGGTTCTTAAACGGTGACGTCTAAACGTTGATGTGAGCAAACTAGTAGCACCTGCTACTTCTTTGAAATATCAGAATGAGTTACAATCACTGTTTGCTGGCAACCCCCAAGTTTTATAGATTACCATTGGCTTCATTTGCAAGACGCCATGCAAATGGCGAGTGTAGCCATTTGAGGCTTGAAAAAATACTACGCTAAAACCACTGGATTCCTGCGAGTTCTGTGCAACTCCTGGACGAGCACCAGTCCATCCCGGCTGGCAGCGCTTGCGCGCAAAATTGGACAGTGGTTAAGTAAGGACCGCGAAGCCTAGTAGTCAGAACGTGCCAATTCATAGGCTTTGGATCGGGTCCCAGTGACTTAATGGTCTACGAGCTCTCTAGTCTTGTAACCAGAAGCTCCTGGGTTCAAACCCCTGTGGTAGGTGCGTACCGCCGAAGAGTCACAAACTAGGACGGAACAACTGTCCAGTATTCCCAGGTTCTCCATTGGTTCTCTAACTGATGTCAGCTCATGACGAAGTGCTGTAACCAATCAGTGAGATCCCTACAAACCAATACTTGAGTATAAGTCGTTTAATCTAGTCATATAATGTACAATACACCGTGCATTGTATCTCTCTATCGTATATAGAGCATGAGTATTACATATGATTTCGTGCCCGAAATGGTATTTATTTACACTACAGAGCTCTATGTGCTGTACAGATTTCAATAGTCAAACATATTCAGCCATAACGTCGTCGCCTCACCTCTTGTTCGAGTACTTTTAAATAGGAAAGTAGAAGCCATTTTTAGTAGACAAAACGTACTGGCTATATATACAGTTCAAGTGAGACATGGTGCTTGTCCAACGCCTGACTGTTTTCCAGGATTACCACTGACTACGTGTAAATGATTAGAGGAGATTTCGGAGTCTGTCGATATAAACTTGCTACCATTATTAAACCACAGATGGAGATTGTGTTTCCATTTTCAAGTTAGTTTTTATCGTTTTATTTTTTTGTAATGTAATAGGATAGTATGATTTACCGTATTAACACTTTCTCTTCATACTTTTCTTGAATTTTATTTCTTTTAGACTCTGTCTCCAACAGACAGTGATGATGGTGATAAGTTGCGCAAAAGTCCAAAATCTAAACGTGACCGAAGTCGACCTACAGCTCACAGACAAACTCCCCTTATTAAATCGACAAAATCTTCACCATGCGAAGAGAAATCTGCAAAAAGTCATAAAACAAAACAATCTTTATCAGTGCTTCACACTTCTATCGATTCATTTTCTGATATGCCAATAATAGTAACAACAACAACACAGGATAATGCTGGCGATAATGAATCTTCTTTGGTTGATTGTTCAAATTCTCCTTTAGGAAAATTTACTCACCGGAGAAGATCACGTTCAGAAGAGCCATCTAGTGAATTGCGTAACTGTGATATTATTACTCCTGTGCAAATGATTAACAATTATTCCGAAAATGTTGATAATAATGGCATTATTGATTGTGTTGCGTCACCAGATTCATCTATGATGATGAACAGATGTATGACAAATGATTATGGTGATGGAAGTGGCAGTATTACTGAATCTCCTGGCGCCTCCACATCAGATTTACGCTGGTCTTCAGCAAAGATGAATAAATGTAGGTTCTTATTTTCCAACCGCTTAATATATTGCTGGAATTGAATTAATAATTTAACATTGTTTCAAATAATAATTTAGATATAAGTATAATAGTTGAGCTTTGTGGCTATGGATAAAAGTTTATTTTGATAAAATCACACAGTGGTGCTATACAGTAATATTTACTGATGATAACTACGCTTCGAGCACAATTTATTGCCACTGTCTGTCTGTCTGTCTGTCTGTCTGTCTGTCTGTTTTCGACGTATAGCTTTGCATCGACGTACAACAGTTCAAGTCACCACATTCCCTCCATGTATCACACAAAGCAAGAGAAGAAAGTACAAGAAATGCATAATAGTGACAGTAAACAGAGGTGTGAGACAAAGGAATAGTGATAACGGGGAACAATATAGTTTCATTGGAAATCATAAGTCACAAGGAGTGGGGGATCTGCACTGGCCATTGAGAATGATTTCGAGCCATATCACCAATTGTTTCCAACCACTGGTTTTTACCGTCCTGAAGACACCAACCAGTCAGTCTACACTTTCCTACGTGACTCAAACTAACTGTTGTGGATTTCATTGAGTGGTGCCAAGTTTTTGTTTGACCGCCACTACCTCTTTACTAGCCTGACTAATCCTATGTCAGCTAACATTGCCCGTTGTCGAGGAACGCGATGACTAGGCTACTATGGGTAACACATGCCCTAACCATCTCTCTCAGTCGATGTAATTTCACAGCCTCATCGATTGATTTCCCCTTCTGACTTATATAGCACTCGACTGATGCCTAACCTCAATATTTCTCACCTTATTATACCACTTCACACAGGAGATAGAGAGCAGGCACCTATGAACAAAGACAGACAATCTTTTCATGTCTTCCACTCTCAGTGGCCAGGTCTCACTCACAGCCATAAAGGAAGACGGAGCGGACTGATGAGCAGTACACCCGCCCTTTGGTCGATAGCCAGCCGGATATCTCGTCTACGCCAGAGACGGCGTAAACTCACATATGCGAAACTAGCCGTCTGTATCCGTTCTGAGGTTTCTTCAGAGATCAACCCGTTGGGGCTGATGTGCATTTGTGTTTGTAGGTATGTATGTGTGTTGTTACATTTAACAGTAATAGTAGTGATATTTTAACTGATTAAAAATGCCCATTAAAATTTTCAAAAAAATGGTAACCGAACAAAGAGTACTCTTCTCGATAAGTTCATCATCAGGTTCTACAGTTATATATACATTATAGTGAATAAATGAGTGAATTAGTGTTATGAACACCATTAATACTGTTTAAATAACATTGAATCAGTAATATCAATAGATTACAGTTCGTTTGCATCAACATAAAATAAGCTGAATGTCAAAAAAATTAGGAAAGATAATATTACAAATTCACGAATTTATAGTCTACTGAAGGCCGGCCAGGGCAGTAGTACTGACTGGCTGGACTTGCTTCTTTTGCATACAGAGCACTAGTTGGTTGAGGCGAATTGCAATAGCCTCTGGTGTTTGGGGCATGCGGTACCTGGATGCTTTCGGCAATTTATTAGGCACGCGGTAGATGATAGAGAAGCATTCTTCAACGCCGACTGACTCTGTGGCCAGTTTGCACCAAATGGTCCAATATTGCACTGTTAGTAGTTTTCACTACACCTTTACTTAGCCATAGTGGGAGATGTTCTCGAGCCTCCAAAGCCTCAGGATGGTCGGGGGTGGGTGTCTTGCGCTGCGGGTTGGCCACCCCTCCGTACACCTCTTGAAATGCTCCCATATAACCGGGCATCTTACATAGCCTCTCCTGAGGAAGTCCTACTCACTGCCTTCACGTGGCGGAGGTGTTTTTCACCAAAGTGAGAGGGCAAAAGCGGATGCCCGGCGCTCTTCACCGGGTTGACTGTCCATTGGATGACAGTCTAGGGGAGATGGCTAAACCCTGATTCCAAACCTCCAACGACTGGCGTATGAAGCTCACCGGAGCTCACCGGCTGCCAATGGATAGTGGACTCCCTACTCCACTCCTACTGCCTTGTAGGTCACACTTGGTTGTGTAAAGGCTAGAGCTGCACTCTCAAACAAAGGCCGAGCGATGCTGGGGACATCACTCGTACCCAATTCCCATGAAACTTCATGGTTCATGAAGCCGGCTCATCCTCCCGTAGGAGATAGCCGAAGTAAAAAAAAATGTTCTCGAGCGAGCACGAAAAATCAAGTTCCTAGAGCAACAACGGCCGATAAAACTCGCTCCACACCGAGCGCAGTTGAATTGTTAGATACAATTTGAAATGGCTAGCTAGTCTAGGTACTTCATTCATCTTTCAGTCGAGGTAGCACCATCGGTCGTGTAGAGAGAGAATAAGACGTATAGTTCGCCAGCATTAAAAGTTCTTTGAACTGATTTTCTTAATTTCTTTGTAATTATCTCACTTGGTATATCGCCCTTGAATTGTAATTGTATGCATAAAGGCTTCTTGTTTACGGATAGTGAGTAGTCCTTTTCCACTTTTTTTTGTTTTTCCCTATTCCAGATGGTAGGATTACAAAATCAGCACCAAACAGTCCTTATAAACCAAATACCATGAATGATAATTCTCGTTTCGGTAGAATATCTTTACGTCGTCGAGCTATTCTACGCCTTCCAGTAACACCGTCTAGACGTACACCAGGCCAGTCGAATCGTCAGCGTAATTTCAATTCACCAACAACGTCATGTGGTAATCGACTTCAGACGACTCCAAATCCTTCAAATTCTCTAACTGTTGCAAAATCTTCCCCATCATCATCATCATCATCACTATGGAAAAATAATTCAATGTCGTCAGTTAAACAATCTTTTATTGATCACAATAATGATAGTGATAATAACCGTGGTAATTTGGTGATTGACAACAATTCAAATTCAATGTCATGTATGTAGAACAATAAAATGTACACAACTTGTCGTCGTTGTTTTCCTGCAATCAATCAATCACTGGTGAATATTTTTGAACTAGAGGAGAAGAGGCGAGAAGAAATGACGAAAACTACAGCGTTTGGCTATTTTTCTTATTTTAAAAGAATCCTTTTCTCTTTCATCATTTTCCTGCTATTATTATTACTATTAATACCACTACTACTACTACAAGTACTGCGACCTTGACAATGACTACAAATAGCCAGCCCCAACAACATCAGTAAAAACAATGATAGTGATTGATTTTTATTACCTTCTTATTTATTTATTTTCCATTTTTTATGCTACAGTCATGATTTATTTATTTATTTACTTACTCATTTATTTATTTATGTTTGAACTTAACATTATTATAAGAAGTAGTTTTTCATCCTTTTTTTATAATTCAAAATTTTGACGTATTCTCCACTCCTTTTTGATGATGACGAAAATTATACCGAATGTGTAATGACTGTGTGTGGGTGTGTGTGCTGTACACTACTCCCACTTATCACCCACCCACCTACATCCATCCACTCACCTACAACCACCCACAGACACACACACACACACTCCCACGCAGACGCATATCTATCCTCTCTCTGATATATGATTTGTATTCACTGTTATTATTATTTGCGGGGATTTTTTGTATCACAGATCTGGAACTCTTATTTTTATTCTGTCTGAAAGGAAACAACAACGTCTTTCTATTGTGTTACATGTGTGTAACCCTGATCACAATTTCTGTATATATGTTATGTGTATATTAACCATTGAAAGACAAAACACAAAGTGATAATTAGTGGTTTATATCAGTTATCATTATGATCAATAATGTGCTGGTGTCGGTGTTGGTGTTATTGTTGTTGTTGCTATTGCTAGTAGTGTGATAGTGACAATCATTAGGACATTTCACGTTTCCACTACTATTATCTATCTGGTTTTTTATACTCCTTACCAAGAATGTGTGCGTGTGTTTATGAATGTGTATGTATACATATACATAATTAGTCATAATAAAAATAACTGCCAGTTTGTATTATTCTTATATATATACGTATCATTTCTTTTGATTATGATTATTGTTATTCATGGTGTGTGTATGTGGGTGGGTGTGATTGCGCATTTTATGACAATAGACTATCTATAACTGACTGACTTACTGATTGATTTAGTGAGTGTTTTCAGGTCAGAAGAGAACATTGAGGTAGTAAGATGTAGCAGTTCAAGTTGTTGAACCCTTCATTAGTACCCCATCCCAGCCTTTGTCCCCTTCCTATACACACACCTTTAAAGGAACTTTCATAAACGGAACTGTACGACAGAAAGAATAATGGGGATTTAATGCGTCTGGAAGTTCATAAAGAGTGGCAACATTCTCTAGCCCATTGGTTCCTAGCGGTTATTGGATGCCAACCAGGTAGTCTCCAAGTGTTGGTCTGTAGGGATTTGATTGATTTGGTTACAGGATTTCATCATCAGCTGACACATTGTTTAGAGAATCATTGGAAAATCAGCTGGGACTACTGGACAGCTGTTTCGTCAGTATAGTTTGGGACTCCTTCGCAGTACGCACCTACCACAGGGGTTCGAACCCAGGACCTTCTGGTTACAAGGCGAGCTCGTACACCAGGTGTGAGGACAAATATTCGCCGAAGACATTAGCTGGTGGTGGCACTATGTCGTGAATTGGCAGAAGTTAGAATTCATGGGTCATTGGATCGAGTCCCAGAGAATTGATGTTCTACGAGTTCGCCTCGTAACCAGAGGGTCCTGGGTTCGAATCCCTGTGGTGGGTGCGTACTGATGAAGAGTCCCAAACTAGGCTAACGAAACAGCTGTCCAGTACTCCCAGCTGGTTTTCCAATAGTTCTGTAACCAGGTAGTCTCCATCTGACTACTACTACGTGACTGGCTTGAACCAGCTGTCAGACACTGAATGAATTGATTTCATGTCTTGATTTATTATTATTATTATTCCCTTGGGCGCCCGGGTGAAACATACGGCTTCATTAGAAAATCTCTATTTCACGCCATTCTGTGAAATTAGTCCTGTTTAGATGGCTAACTCCACGATTATGCATACGCTGTCACCTCTATCTCTCACTTGTTCTCCTCTCCATGCAACCCTCGGACTCCCAACTCGTTTATTCCCCTTCGGATTCCTCACTCGAATGATTGGCTCATGATGTTACTACTCAACTCTGATTGGTTCGTTCCCAGACTAATTTGTTGTTAATTCTTTCGGATCATTTGGTCATCAGTATCGAATAATTTGAAGGCAGTTGTTTATTAAAAGAAGCCTACAGCCAGTTGGAAATGCTTTTGGTAATGCCCTCAATTTCTGACTTGTATACAGAAGAACTGACTTAACATTTGTGTTGAGATTTCGAATTTCGTTCTTTATGTTCAGTGCAGCATATTTCTATGCTGATTTCAGAGTGACTTGTTTTGATTCGACCATCTTCAAATTAATCCTAGGTCACTTATCATTGCTGGACGAGGGAGTTGATAGCTCAGCATGAGCGTAACACGTAATTTATTTAGCTTCACAACCTTATCGTTCCACCTACTCTTCATTACCTAACACTCCGCGATTAATCCCATTATTACTGAACATATTATATGACTTAACAAGGAAGTTAGAATGCAAACATATCCACGGCTAATGAAGCCTGTTATCCGATTGGACGTTGATCGCTTCAGTGAGGAGAGTAGTAATAGTAGTACTTTTCCCGACCGTAATTGGAGAGTTAAAGTGTGGAGGTGGACTTACCCTTAGATTATTGCTACCAGTGAGAGGGAAGCAAGAAAATGAAGGTAACTGGTGATGATCAGGAAAGCCTTATGTACTTTTGGAAGTGTGTAAGTGGTCATTTGCTTCCCCGTTGCTCACAACGTTGAGAATTGAATAAACGATTATGTGTGAATAATACGATTTACGAAGCTAACTTATTTAATTTAATTTTAGATTTTCCTGTCGATTGATTGGACCGAAGTGCTCGGTCTCAGGTTGACATGTCGGCTTCTTTTGCAGATGCTTCGGTCCAATCAATCGACAGGAAAATCTAAAATTCAATTAAATAAATATGACCCGTTGCACAAGATGTGGTGGCTCTCGTGGCCCAAGTGGTCTACTGGATAACGCTTTGGTGCTTGAAACTATGGGCACTAGATTTGAGCCTCGGTGAGAACATCATCACGCACTGAGAAATGCGGTACATCCAGATGACGAGGCCCAAATAGGACGAATAGCACATCCTGGATTCCACTGATAGTCGCCATTTACCAATTAAATACTAACTTATGTTAGAAAGATGTAGGCATTCCAGAGATAACCTTGGATTTGTGCTTATTGGCTCTCGTCAGTCAGGAGTATCTGTAACATGGAGAGAACTGATAGCCTTCTGTGATACAAATCTGCGTCATCTAGCGTAACAGTCGGTTGGGTTACCAGTGAGCTATTCGGACTCATGATTGATCTCTGCAATATTGTGATTCTACGTATTAGCGGTACTGAACACCACGTCAACGGCGGATGTAGTTATAAGTTATCCATTGAAAAGGTTGCAATTCCTAATGGGACGCCTGCTTAGACTAAAATCACACCCTTGTATGTTCTCATATATGCCTTCTACTATACGGGCATAGAATACATAAAGGCAGTTTCGAAACTTTTACACACCTTACGTGACGTGAACACTAAGTCGTTATTGGGGGAGGAAATAAATAAATTCTGTTTTGGCGAATGTAGTGTAATGTTGTTTTAGTCAAAATGTGAGAAATGTTATTTATTTATTTCAGTCTCAATGGCTTCCCGCCAAATGCAAGATGATGTTACAGGACTGGACTACACCGACTCCTAGATTAGAAATAGGAAGTGAAGTGGTAGAGCGCGTTGACCGCTCCACTTATTTGGGAAGTACCATTAGCCCAAACGGGTTGATCTCTGAAGAAACCTCATCACGGATACAGACGGCTAGTTTCGCATATGTGAGTTTACGCCGTCTCTGGCGTAGACGAGATATCCGGCTGGCTATCGACCAAAGGGCAGGTATACTGCTAATCAGTCCGCTCCGTCCTCTTTTATGGCTGCGAGTGAGACGTGGCCACTGAGGGTGGAAGACATGAAAAGATTGTCTGTCTTTGATCGAAGGTGCCTGCGTTCTATTTCCCGTGTGAAGTGGTATAATAAGGTGAGAAATATTGAGGTTAGGCATCAGTCGAGTGCTATATAAGTCAAGAAGGGGAAATCAATCGATGAGGCTGTGAAATTACATCGACTGAGAGATGGTTAGGACATGTGTTACGCATAGTAGCCTAGTCATCGCCTTCCTCGACAACGGGCAATGTTAGCTGACATAGGATTAGTCAGGCTAGTAAAGAGCTAGTGGCGGTCAAACAAAAACTTGGCACCACTCAATGAAATCCACAACAGTTAGTTTGAGTCACGTAGGAAGGTGTAGACTTCCTGGTTGGGGTCCTCGGGACGGTAAAAACCAGTGGTTGGAAACAATTTGTGATATGGCTCAAACTCATCGTTCTCAATGGCCAGCGCAGATGCAACCACTCCCTGTGACTTATGATTTCCAATGAAACTATATTGTTCCCAGTTATCACTATTTCTTTGTCTCACACCTCTGTTTACTGTATCTGTTATGCATTTCTTGTACTTTCTTCTGTTGCTTTGTGTGGTACATGGAGGGAGTGTGGTGACTTGAACTGTTGTACATCGATGCAAAGTTCTATGTCGAAAACAGACAGTCTCGATGGCTTTATGGCCTGCAGGGCTAATACACAGCAGTGCACCACCTCAAGTTGATTCCTTAATTTTCTCCTAAATTATTATTACAAATATGCAATATAATTATTGACTTGTTTTCGGTTTATCTGTGTTTCAGTAGTAGGGATGCTCTTCACAATCATCCCCATCCAAGTGATCCGGGGTTCGATCTCTGGCCGGCGGATGCACTCCTAAACCTCACTCAACAGCTAGTAGTATGATTAAGCCAGGAAATGAGGGAAGGTTAGATGTGTAAGGCTAGTGGATAATTTCACTGCTATTGAAATTTCAAAGCTTGTCGCTCTATGCTCCACTCAGAATCCATCTTATTTAGGTTGGATAAAAGTTCTTTGTGTTGTTGTACTCTGTGCCTGCTGGTGGTTGGTTCTAATTGCATAGATTTTATTGTCTGTCTTGTAAAACGCTGTGTCTTCAATTATTACTTCAGCCTGAAGAGATGATATCTTCGAATTCTTCATGAATGAGATGTAACTCCGTCTGTTTTTTTGTCTTTGGAGTTATTCTTACCCGTAGGTTGATTTGTATTAGTAATGATTGCCTCATTATAGATAAGATTTTATTTTGATAAATCACACAGTGTTGTACAGTGGTTAATATTAACTGATGACGTTTCGAGCACTAATTGTTATTGTCAATCATAATCATATCAAGGCACTCACACAACTTTTTGCCTCATTTATTTACATAAGTAAAAATTGATGATTAGACATCTTTGAAAAATCAATATAACATAAAGTACTTTCGCAACCCTTATTATTAGTGTTATCAATCAAATAAAGTCAGATGGGAAATAAGACGAGTGTTTTTATAGTCAAAATAAGTAACTTGTTAGAATGTTATAATGTATGTGAATTGAAATAGAAGTTTAAGGTTATTTATTATCCTATTCTGATTTGACTGACTGGTGGTAATAATGTGGTGAGATCTGGCTGCTAACCAAATTGGTAGACAGTAATTCAGGTCAATGTTTAATGTCCCAAATATTGGCCATAAGAAAAATAAGAACAAAGACTGATTCAACAACCAACCACAGCAGACTTTGCCTAGGCGAATACAGCTAGCATATAGATGATCTGACGTTCACGAAACAGCCACAAAGAGATGAAAGATTCACTTCCAGTGAGAAACAACCTATTAGAAGACACATGGAATCTATAAATATGTATTGATTTTCTTAATAAACGATCTGTTAGCTGGCTCTTGTCTTCTGCTGTTACAATAATATCTCCCACACATATCTCTGGTATTTGCGTTGAGCCACCACTATTGCATGTGTTGGGTGTAGACTCGATGAACCAGGATTCGGTAATCAATCTCTCTTTCCATCCACCTATATTACTTTTCAGAATTTAGAATTGTGTGTTAGTGCATGCAGTGCGATTGCTGAGTTTTTTCTAAGTTACTCATCTTCTTGTGATCAATCATTCTAACCCTTAACCAAATTCGTATGTTCTGATAATCTGACTACTCCCGGTCTACTAGTTTGGCTGACCTATGTAGTTGACCTGACTCACAGTCATTGCAGGGTATTTTGTAAATTATATTATATTTTGCTTAATTGAGTCCACCGGATCTTTTAGCCTAGAGAGCTTGTCGCTGGCCTTTTTGCTGTCTTCCTAATAAGGGGATATTTCTAGTATAACTTTTAGGATACTGAATTATTTTGCAGTAGAGAGATACTTCATGCGAACCAACACAACATTCATTTGATTCAAATGTGTGTTTAAGGTTGAAGTAGCTGGTGACAAAAGAGAAGATCTGATCAACGCCGTTTGTAATTTTTATACAATTATCAAGGCGAAATTTCACTGGAGATTCATTTGGAAATCGAAATCACATTATTTGTCCTGTAACGACAGAAGACAAGAGACAGACAACAGATCGTTTATTGAGAAAATCAATAGATACTATTTATAAATTTTTATGTACATTATTATTAGAGTTATTGTTAGCATAGAAGCAACGCCTTCTGATTGGTTGTTTTCCTGCCGAAGGTTATTCTGTTATCTGTTTGTTGCCGTCTCTTAGACAATCCGTTGAAATATCTGCGGATCGTATCCACCTCGGCTAAGCTTGCTGTGACTGGTTGTTGAGTTCCTCAAGGTTAGGCTTTATTATTGTTTCCTCTCCTGACCCCCAATTCGGTACGTTAACATTGACGTAATTTGCTGTCTACCAGTTTTAGCTAGCAGACAGCTCTCACCACAGTCCTACATGATACACCATAAATGCTAATCAATAAAACACGCATAATTGCATGAGACTCTATACATTACTGATTGTTTTTTTCCGAAGGAAACTTTGGTGGAATTTTCATCTCGAAATGTGTGAATTGTAAAGTCGATTTATTAAGTATTACCCCAGTTTGCCTAAGTAAGGTAGGCAGGTAGCTAAAAATTAGGTTAGTTTCAACTCTTTGATTCTCCTCCCTGAACACTGAGTCAAACCACCTACACCGTTGACAAGTCTGTGGCCTGAAATGAGCAAAATGGTCGTCTGGTGTTTAGACATCACTTCGATGATCTGGTTAGCTTGGCTGGCTGACTGACTGACAAGCACTACTGGTTGATATGAGTGGAATACAACTACTTATATCAATTGAAAGTAGTATATTACACATCATAGAGTCTGAAAAGTGGCAGTTCTAAAGTGGACTAATGAAAACTAATCACATCAATTTTGTAGACAACAGAGATGTGACTCTTTATGTGTTTAAAACATTTGGCATCCCACTTAACATACCTTATCGTGCTTCAACCTAAGTAATCTGACAGTATCGTATGACCTAAGATTGTCACATGTAGCAATTTGTTAACATTAGTTAACATTACACAAAGTCAAGTGATGATTTACAATTCACACTTATGACGCGCATAAATATCTGGATTCACGTAAAATGGACATCCTAAAAGATCTGCCTAAAATTGTGTCATCATATACGGATAAGCAAACTACACATATCCCTTGAAAATAAAAACGGGGTTGCACTTGTTGTATTCTTTGACTGGAGACTAGTCATTGACTAGTATAGTGTGTCTAGTCTAGTCTAGTCTAGTCCTTTTCTTGGCGCAAACTGAATTCTATCAGTCAGTCAAGTTTGCAATGTGGCCACCATGATGCCACTAGAGGTGGCTTGCCAGTCATCACAGTGTACTTTGAATTGTTGACATTAGATGGTTGAAAGCAGGAAAACCTTGTCTGTTTTTTTTAGGTTTCGTGTTAGTTGGCACTCACCAGTCAGCAAGGTGTATCTGCAACCTTGAAGTACCTTCGTTATTCTGAAATCAATTTGGAAATATTCTGTACTTTCTCAGTATAAAGAACAAAATTCGGATTCTGTTCAACACCACTGTGAAATCAGTCAGTCAATTCTTCTATACGGGTTAGACATCTGCACTGTGTGTCATGGAAAGCATTTCCAACAGATTTTTATCAACATTTGACTACACTAAGCTGCCTATTTGAAGATCAAATAGGCGGAAAGAATCGGTAACCAAAAACCTCTGGGAGCGAACCAGTCAAGAACCTATCCTTCAACAAATGTGTAGGGGAAATTGGAGATAGGAGACCGTTCAATGACAACGCGCGCGCAAGGCCTTAACTCGAATGGATCCCGAATGGGGAGTGGGTCGAGTGGGTCGTCAGTGTGAGAGTGACATGGTGAGGATGAGAGATTGTAGACAATCGTTGGCCCAGATGAAGAAGGCAGTAGACAATAGAAGAAAGTGGAGATGTGTTGTTGAAGCCCTATGTTTCAATCGGAACACAAGGGAAAAATAATAATAATGCATGATAAAATCATGATAAGTCAGTTAACTTTGAAATCTATCACTTCGTCATCGAGGCTCTTTATGTGCGCTAAATTCCTACAAAAGCACGATATGATCGGTTCGGCTGTTTAGACAAAGATTTTACTATGTGGTTTTACTTATTCTCATTTGTTTCACTGAATTTTCTTGATAAGTTGGTCTTATCGAGCACTTTTACGTAGTTTTTTAGTAATCTTATGATAGTGTGGTTATTTTAGGTCAGTGAACAACGGTCGTCAGTATGGCCGAGAGGTCCAGGGTGGTTCATTCAGCTCGTACTTCACTATTTAGATATGGGCTGGCATCCAATTCCTGATACCACTATTTAGTGCATCATCAGTTTATTACCGTTGTAACAACAGAAGACCAAGGGCCAGGCAACAGATCCTTTTTTAAGGAAATCAACACGTATTTATGTTTTCCCATATATTATTATAGCTTATTCAAGCAGACGAGCAAACTCTTCTGATTGGTTGTTTCTCACAGAAGGTTGACCTTGCATCTCTTTGTGACTGTTTCTTGAATGTCAGGTCATCTATATGTTAACTGTATCTGCCTACGTAGTCTGCTGTGATTGGTTGTTGAATCAGTTTTTGTTCTCACTTTTCTCACGACCAATATTTGCGACATACCCATTGACGTAAAATACTGTCTTCCATTTTTGGCTGACCTGCTCTCATCACACTGTCACTATAATATTAAAACGCCAACGTGGTACCTTATCGGGCACCAACATATGCTATCTACACAAAATGCCATAGTTTGTGAGGGGTTTGGGAAACTTCCCAGAATAAAGTAGGTCGTTGTGTTAATCGGTCATCCCTTGAGCAATGGAGCCACGTTCCCTTCTCATGGTTTCAGGTGATCAAAACAGGTTCATACGTCATTGGATCCGTCGTAATTCTGCAGCTCTTGTACACCACCATAGGTTTGGAATCAGAGTTCACCAGCTACTCCCCCGCATGGGTAGACCAGGATATCTACCAGTCCGGTCGGATATGCCCTTCCACTTATGTGCGGGGAACACCTCCGCCAAGTGGAGGCAGTTATGGATAAGACTTAACTGCTGGTAGAGGTGGCTATGAACGTGTGGTTACATGAAAGAGCATTTCAAAAAAAGGAATACGACGTTAAGGCAGTGGGGCTTCGTTGTTATTTCAATGGTAACGATGGTCACCAGCCCACGCCACTCAGAATGTCTGAGTTTTGGTTCCCTGCTGACTTATTCGTAAACCTCATCTAATATTTACTAGCCGGTAATTACTTTCCAAAAGACGGAAGGAAGTTGGGCGTGAGGCTAGAATCCCCATCCATCCCTCTAGGAATAACACTGGCACTTAAGCTTTATGTTCGATTGAGCTCTGACGGATAGTACGCCTATCTGGTATTACTATGAGCATATTTCCGAGCATTTTTATGGCTTAAGGGATTTATGTCCAAGGCTGTTTGAATATGTATATCTCTGTAATCAGATAATCTATTGACTTCTCATTTCTGCTTCTTTTATAGCCCCAGATTGTGTAACACTATATGGCTAGTTTCAACAACAACAACAATTATCATAATGCTGCTGGAAATAAGAACACTCACATATGGTCAGTAGGCATTGGTGATGCAGAAGATGAATCATATTGGGATGATAGTGATTTACTTGCTCAATATACTCAAATTGAGTCAGTTGTTAAGGTATTATGCCTGAATTTTGAATGATTGGCTATGAATTACTATTTTTTGCCTATCATACTTTTATTGTTTTCTTTTCTAATTGCATGAGATTTTTTATGAATTTTTTGTAATGTTTAGATTGTAGAATTTGTCCTGTTCTTGGGCTCTTTAACAGCGCGCACCCATGACCGTGTCAGAGACCTCAGCTTTTAAGTGGCTGCATGATCAACGAGCTTGGTCTCGCGTTACTTGAAGGTCCCGCTCACAATTCTTGGTGGGGTCGTTCCACTGAAGAGTCCAAAAACGGGACGAAACAGCTTTCCAGTGTGCATCCTAGTTTATCATAGTTTCTCTAACTGATGTTAGTTCGTGACAAAGGTCTAACAGTTTTTTTTTGAAATAATTTGGGCCTGATGTCATTTAGATTTTTTTTGCGGACAATACTTATTGAGAAGTCGTTAACTAGGCTTCATCAGTCGCCGACAAGTTCTCTGTATTTTCCACAAGTTATTAATAATGAATATGTAACGGGGTTCTCCAGCAGATTGAGTAAGCTGCGTACAGACACAGTAATTTAGAATAACACACTTGTCTACGCCAAAAATATAACACTACAGCTATCTGTTTCCACCAGCCAGCTCTACCTAAGCGAGAACACACAACCATGTGTGACTGAAAGCATATTACGGTATGCGTGTATAAGTATACTTGAAGTAGGAAACAATGATACTTTGATTGGACGTTACTAACTAGTGTGATGTGTTTAGTCCTGTCTTTGGTGCAGACGGAATCTATCAGTCAAGTTCGCAATGTGGCTAACATGCCACTAGATGGCTCGTTATCACGACCGATAACTGCGACCTTGTCATGGTGGTCAGGCTTGAATACCGTAATGACCCAACATGCTAAACTGACTGGGACTCTGTCCCTGCAGGTCCTACCATGTCATGAAGGTTGTTTGGATAGCGGTTAAACTAAAAGCAGTTACCATGGGGTACATGGGCTCCAGTATCCAATCGGATCAAATGGCGTATGAACCCAAATGGGTCACCGGAAACCATGGGAATGCACCTCCTGACGCTACTCCGCTGCCTTGTAGATTAGACTCCAAGTCAAAGGCTCGGGGGGGGTGGTCCCTTAATAAAACCACCTGCTTTGGTCTGGGCGCCCGAGCAGTATCTCAGCCCTCACACAATGAATTGAATGAAGCAGCAAACAATCAATGAAACTTATCGCGTGCTATTACACGTGTTGCAATTTCCTTCTTTCTTCCCTTCCCGATGATAGTTAACGAATACGATGAAATTCTTTATCCGTTCTCTACTTATATATATATATATATTTCTCTTCTTTTTTTCTTTTGATCTATGTTGTTTTATTATTATTGATTGGCGCATCCTTCTCGGTGCCATTTTGTGCCGAGTTTTTATGCGTTTAAATAAATAAATATCACGGTGCACATTAATTTTATGATATTAGATGGTTGGAGGCAATCGGCAGGAAGTCTTGAATTTAGGTCTCGTGCTAGTTGGTACTCGTCAGTAAGGCGTCTCTGTAGCATGAAACCTAGGTACAAGGCTTCCTGCCGATTGCCTCCAATCATCTAATATCATCAAATCAACGTGCACCGTGATGGCGGGCCACCTAATGGCATGGTGGCCACATTGCAAACTTTACTGATAGAAATCAGTCTGCACCAAAGACAGGACTAGACACATCACACTAGTTACTAGTGTCCAATCAAAATATCCACTACAGTTCTACAGGAAGTCAATAGCGTGTCCGGATAGCTCATTAATACCGTCTCTGACTGCAGCACTGGCTGATGATGCAGTTTCGAATCTCAGGAGGGACATGAGTTCCTTGAAGTTTGCAGATACGCCTTGCTAACTGACTAGCGAGTGTCATCTAACACGAAACCTGGTTCAGGCTAGGCTTCCTGTGACCTATTGCTTCCAACTATTTAATATCATCGGGAAACAATGATGTATATACACATATGTATGCCTTGTGACTGGAAAGCCCCGGATTTAAACCCTAGTGAGTGCTTACTGATGAAGAGTTCCCATATACGACAACGAAACAGCTGTCCAATACTCCCTGGTTTCCTATTTATTCTCTAATTGACGTCAGTTCCCGATCATATCTGTAAGCAATCTCAGTCAATTGTCAAGAATCATGATTTTTTTTTATTTACAGCTTGGTTCCACACTGTATTTTCGGTACAAGTATGGAATTTTCAGCATGGATATCGGTAGCCCAAATTTTGCAGGCCGACCATAGATATCAGGTGTGCGTCGGTGCAGGCTCGAACCCCGGACCATGTGCATGGTCGGCGAGAGATACCTTGGATACAAATCTTATTAAGAGAATCTAAAATCAACTATGCTGCTTTTTGATTATTTATTATCTCAAATGTAGACTTTTTTCTTCTTATTCAATCCTTTCTGTGTGTGTTTTTCTTTGTGTAAATTTCAGGAGAAAGTAAGAGAAAAATATACGCAAACCTTCTCAAAAAGTAATAATAAATCCCGCCATAGTAACTTCAATAATAAGAAATCATCTAAGCTATTTACTAAAGCGAAGGTATGTACACTAAACGTTTGTACTCTCTTGATACACCATTATTGTTGATTAAACTTTTGAATTTACATTTCTATATCCAATCAGGACGTGCTGAACAGTTGTTTCGTCCTACAGACTTCGTCTACAGACTTACTCATGATTTCACGAGCGATTGGACCTAGAAGTTTCAGATAACCAGGTGGTGAGCTCATCGACCATTTAGCCACACCGGGTGGGGTGGGGGGTTCGGGGGGATTTAGTGATCACCCGTGAATTCTAACTTTTGTTAGTTAGTGAGTGATATAGCGTTACTCTTCGCCCCCCTTCCCACCCAACCAATGTAATTAATGGACGTCTATTTCACCTTGGCAGGTGGTGATCTAAATGGTGACGAATTCTCAGGAGTGTTGTGTCACAAATCGACAAAAGTTAAAATTTACAGGTCACTGGATTTTGGGCAAGTGAATGAATGAATGAATAACAGTCGAAGCACCAGCCTCGTATTGTGGTTAAAGTCCAAGGTTCTATCCTTGGTGAGGGATTAAAGGTGTGATCGAGTTTCAAACTAGGAGGAAGCAGATGTCCACAGTATTCCCTGGTTTTGCAATGATTCTTTAACTGTGATGTTCTATTGTAACAGAATCTGTGCGGGGATTAATTCAAATCTTCGACAGAAATTTATAGTCTTAATTATTTTCCACTGATCTGTGAAATCTACAGAGATTTACACAAGTTGGAGGAGAGCACTGAATTTAAAAGTGAAACCACTTCAGTACCTTCACTATAACAATGGAACATTTTGACTTCACAGTTGGTCAAAGGTTGTCTAGGTTCTTGAATCTAGTCATTAGGTGGTTGATCTCTATAGTGGGGATAGTTACAATCACTTAATAATAATAATAATTTGCTTTATTCCAAAACAGTACTTGTGATACAAGATGGAATTCTCAGCATTTCACCACATACAGTATTGTGCATCCAGTTTGTCCATTAACAATAAATAAAATTCTACATAGATTATGGGTAGTCTCAGTTAGTTTTGACAAGAACATATTGGCATGTGGGGGTAGCAAAGCCAAAAGTGAACAGAATGTTTGAAGGTGTTAGAAAAGTAGATGGTATCATATTTACTGGCGTAAGCAGTAACAAAAAGGTGGAGATATACAAAGTCTGTCTGTCTGTTTTCGACATAGAACTTTGCACCGATGTGCAGAAGTTCAAGTCGCCACACTCCGTGTAGCACGCGAAGCAAGAGAAGAAAGTACAAGAAAAGCATAATAGAAACAGTGACCAGAGGTGTGAGACAAAGGAATAGTAGTAACGAAGAACAAAACAGTTTCATTGGAGATCATAAGTCACAAGGAGTGGATGCATCTGCGCCACCGAGCACGATTTTGATCCATGTCACCAATTGTTTCCAACCATTGGTTCCTACCGTGTGAAAGAACGAAGAAGAATGTTATACATAGAGTTTGTAAGGAAGAGAGAACAAAGCAGCACATAACAAAAGAGGGAGGGATAGAGAGAAAAGGAAAAGAAAGAAAGAAAGCGTTGTACCTATAAATGATATGAGTTGGAAAGACAAGATCCAGTTGTTCTACTGACTATTTAATAAGTTATAGGTTTCACGCCTAATGCTTTCTTTATCGCACAGGACACGAGCTAAGTAGGGTATGGTTGAGTTTTTGTACTTACTAGTGCGGGCATATAGTTTCCAATATAGGCTTCTGGTTGGAGGGTTGTGAATGAAGAGGGTGGCGTGAGGTAGATAGCATGGATTCAGTCCATTTTTCATATGAGTCCAAGAGCCTGTCAACCAGAATATTAAGAAGCTGGTTAAGTGGCTCGTTGCTCACCATGCTGACAACATTTAACACCTCAGGTTATAAGATATATCCCTTCTTCAGTAGCCCTGGGAAAACTAAGGGGGAACAATAGAGAATAATAGGCAGGATGCAAGAGTTAACGAATCGTATGAGTAAGGGTTGGGTTAGGTGGTTTAATAAGGTAAGTAATGTTGACGTTAGGCGTAGTGTTGGGTAAAGAGGGAAAATCAATCGACGAGGCTATAAAGTTACATAGACTAAGATGGCTAGGTCACGTGCTGCGCATGCCTAACCACCGCCTCCCCCGACGGGCATTACTAGCTGATATAGGTGAAGGTTAGAAAAGAGCCAGTGGTGGCCAAACAAAAACATGGCCTCATCAATCCATGAAATCCTTGACAGTTAAACTGAGTCAGGTAGGGAGATGCAGACTCCCGGGTTGGGGGCCTCGGGACTCTAGGAATCAATGGCTGGAGACAATAGGTGACATGGCTCAAAATCGATGTCAATGGCGCAGATGTATTCAGTCTCTGTAATCTTTCATATTCCTTTCTACCATTACCCATTCTGTTTCACTCTTATACTTGTCAAACTCTATTGATTCTCTTCACTCATCTTCTTGTCTACCTC